GAGGTTTATTTAAAGAGAATGGTAACCAAAGGAACAAATCATCCTAACTTGAAAGGCCACTTACATAATCTCTCTTTCTCTCTTTCTATTGTTAAGAGTGGTCCTGGAATTTCAATATCAAAACACTGTGGATTTCATCTAATTGTCATGCAAGAGACAACAGGCAACTCCAAGGTCAGGCTTAGAGGGCCAACAGGTTCCACAGTGTAGGGACCTGAATTCTTAAGGTTGTTTCCCCTGTTCCTTAGGAGAAGCACTACCGCACTACTAGCTTCCTGCCCCAGGTTGCTGCCTGGAGACAGGACATTCCAGGAGTAAAATCGGCTGTTCATGAGGACTGCTTTTCCCTGATCTATTTTAGATTACATATATTTTTAGAGTAATATATACAATTTCTGGAGAAGAGATTCATATATCACTGCCACATCTTTACCTGCCCCCTTTTCCCCAGCCATTAATTTCGAAGCCTGTACGATACGAAGATTTTGAAACTATAATTTTGCATCATTAGAATCCCTCTTCGCTAGGAGCACAGAGTACAGTGAAGGAGTCTTAAATTTTTTTATCCTCGTGTGTGTGGTGGGTGGGGTGGGAAGGAGAAAGCGTTTTGATGCCATGATTTCATTAAGACAGTGGAGAATCTTGCCACAGCAATTGTCTTACTCTGAAATTCAGAAGCAGAAATGTAAGTGCTAGGAAGAGCCACTCTACTTGATGGGCTCGGGAACAAGTTTCGAATGTTGGATTTAGAATTGCAAAGATTCAAACGCTGTGGAGCATAGCAGTGCTTTCCCAGGTGCCTAGAGAGAGACAGGTCCCATCCTAGGCATTTCTCCATGTGAATGTATTTGTTCTCATAAATATGTAGGTACATTATGAGCCCTGCTTTGCACATGAGGAACAGAGAGTTTCCATAACCTGACCAAGTCACCAGGATGTAGCAGGGCCCAGGATTAAGCCAAGCAGAGATACCCAGAGGCCACATGCCTGAGCACTGAACCAGAAGGTGCAGCTTCTGAGCTTACTTGATGCTCATCTGCTCAAAGTGTGTCTCTGGCACCAGGTGAAAGAAACTGGTTTGTATTTAAAAAACACATTTAAATAAGGGGACCAGCAGTTAGTATAATGGCTATGTCGCTGAACACCCATGTAGCCAACATGGTTCGAGTCCCGGACTCGGCGGCTTAAACTCATGCCGGGCGTGTGTGTGCACGTGCCCAAGATCCTAAGAGGAGAACAGAGGAGAAGGGATTGTGGCGTGGCCATCCCCCCTGGGGGGTGATTTCTCGCTTTCTATTGCTCTGTCTCTGTCTTTCTGGTGAGCGCATGTGCCTTATAGCAAATACCTCTCCAAAACAAAAAAAAAACAACAAAAAAACACAAAACACATCTAAATAAAAAAGAATCTTAAGGATGAAAAGGCAGAGAAGTTTTTTAGTGGGTACTTTGGTTTTTAGAAACCTAAGAAATTGAAACTGCTGGTAGAGCTGGGAGAAAAGAGCACAGACAGCATTCCATGTGGGAAGTTTCCTTTGGAGGCCTTGATCCTGTTTTCCTTCCTTAGGAAGACAAAGCTGGCTGGTGCCGCCTGTGAAAATCAAAATGGATATTTGTGTGTGGTCCTGTTTGCAAGGCCCTGTGTTCAAGGTCCAAAACCTCAAATGTTGGTGTCATTAAGAATCAATGACGTTGCATAAAACATGCAGATGGGGGGGGCAACTTCAGAGACAGGTTAGTCTGAAAGGGGGCTGGGCACCTACATTTCTCACAAGGACCCAGATGATTCTGATGGAGACGAAGCTGGCACCAGGCTTTAAGGAATCACACTGTGACTGTGGGCATTTGTAAGACATGTAATGTGTTCTTCAAATAATCTGGAATATAAGAGTAAGTCAGTTGACATGGGCACCTGAAGATAAAAACAACAGAAGAAATACAGAGCTCAAAGCCCTGGGAAGTGTTCTGGGACCATGTCTGTCTGGCGAGTGTGGGAAGCTGCACACCAGCTAGTCTGCCGAGGTTTCTCAGAGAGCAAACAATTACCATGATTGTTTCCCTTCCAAAAACCTGACCTTCGAAACCTTGCTCTGATTGGCCACTAGAATCCCTCAAATTTGCATATCCG